GGGAGACAACCCTCTCGTTCATCGGGGTAAACTCCTTTGTTAATGCACCAGTAGCCCCACCCCAGCCTGGCGTCACTCACCTGCCGCAACAAAAGAGCATCCAGCCCATCTCCAGGAGATTGGTTCCAGAACCCACGCTGTGCGTTGAGGTGAGCCCGACTATATCTAGCCAGTATCTCTCAACCTCACGTACAAGCTCAGGCTCCTTCCCCACCAGAGAGGTGACATTCCATGTCCTGAAAACCCCAGTTTTGTCTGCCGGGGATCAGACCGCCAGGGCCTCCCTTGGCCGCCACCCGATCCACAATGCAACGAACCCCTGGGGACAGTCCTGCGTACCCCTTTTGGGCTGGGTCCAGCTGGGCCCCATGGGCCAAGGCCCAGCCACCAGGTGCTCACCAAGGGGCCCCTCCCCCAGGCCTGGCTCCAGGGTGGGGCCCCGGTGACCTTGACTGAATTCTTTGGGGGTTTTCGGATTGCTCTTTGTCTGGCCCCTCCCCTGGGACCTTTTTGCCTTGAAAACCCTACCAGTTGCTATTGCCCCCGACAACATAGCCTCCAGGGTCACTGAGGCACGCAAACCCCTCCACCACGATAAGGTGGCAGTCCAAGGAGGAGGGGTGCATTCCATCTATACTAAAAATCACAGTAGTGAAAAAGTGGACATAAGAGGTTTCATTGGACAGTGACAATGTATTTTAATATTAGGTTAAGTTTTGTAATAAGCAAATATACACTTACTACCTAGACAAAAAAAGCTTTAAACGTTTCCTTATGCATAGTACTGTAAATGTACATATTAGTTCCTGCAGTGGATTCTTTTACAGGTTTGTTTAATCGGCAGCTTGATAAAACCCATGGGCAGGAAGATAGAATTAAAGTGCTTTTATTAGTTTGGGTTTAGAAGTATCACAAACACAGACATTTATTTTTCCACATCAGACAAGGTGGGAAAATAAATAGGAAATTACAAAGCATTAAAAAGAAAATCTGCATTAAATATGAAAGTCAGTCATCTCAGTCAGTGCATTCACGCAGACAAAGAACCTGCTCATTATGTTTGTACTGATTTAGGGATGCAAAGCTAATTAAAGTGATTTCCTCACAGCAGATAACGGTGCGGGCATGTAAAATTGAGTTATGTTCCATTTTGTAATTTTATCAGCTGTAATGCCTGAACAGTAAATGTATATTTGCTCAGAAAGTCAAAATCACCCACCGCCCTCACTCCCCTCAAGCGACTCCCGTCCTTTCCAAGCCGCCCCCCCCCCCCAAATAAAAATAGACAGCCCCCCACACCAAAACTGCAGATATATCCATGTTAATATTGCATTGAAATATGCTCCAGATCCCCATTCACTTACGGCTGTTCACCCAACCTGCAAAGGCATGGCGACCCTCTCTCTATACTCTAAACAATACTCTATACAATACTCTATATCTTTATATTGATGCAGCTCAGTGAGGCAGCTCATGGTCTTCGTTGTCCATGTAAGCAAGGATGCAGAGACCCAGCAGATCATCAACTAACCCTTTCAGTCTCATAGAATCATAGATTTCCAGGCAGGGTTGCCAACTTTGTTCAGCTGGCTGGAGTGAGATTTTCAATTCGAGACAAGTCCGCAAACACATTTACAGCTTTATTACCTTGCAAACTATCCCAGCGCTTTTGATGTAGCTAATTTTAGGTTTATAATGTAGTAACTAGTCACCTTCTCTCACTGTGCTGTAGAACAGAACGTTTTAGAAGATCATTTGTTCCTACGACCATGAGATTTCATAATGCTGTTGTCACTACACATGTGCGCGTGCATCCTAATGTGAAACTGGAAGCTGTTAATGTGAATACAAGTACAGCACAGGTAGTTTTTTTTAAATGCTGCACCATAATTGATATTTATATTGTTATATTGTTGCATTTTTTGAATATTTGTGTTGCACAGTTCGAATACAAGGCTGAAAGCTGCTACAGTACAGTACAAATCAGGTACAGTTAATTTTCTAAATGTGCACCTTAATGAAATTCATTTTATTCTTATTTCCTTGACAGAATATTTATTTTGATTTACTTTTGTCATTAATTCAATTCAATTTTATTTGCATTAGATCGTTAGTAGGTTGCAGCAGTATTGACAGAGACTTTTTAATTTAAAAAAGACAGTCATACTTTGTTCAGTAATGCACTGTTTAAAGAAATAAAGAAAATAAAGCAATTTATATTTTGTTTCTTTTACCGCTGCCATACTAAAAACATACCGAACCATGACCTAAAAACCAACCGTACCAAACCGTGATTTTTCTGCACCGTTACCCTCCTACTATCTATCCATCCATCCATAATGGAATGATATAGATTTGCCATAAGATTTCTTGCGTGAGCATGACAATCTGAAAGCATAAGTGTCACACCAGATGTTTGCAGGTCTGTTTCAGGAATGCATAGTTTGAAACTGAGGCTGTAGCCTTTGCTTTGCTTGGTCACAGATCGCTGGCATTTTCAGCTGTTCTGCAACAAATGCTTCCTGGATTTATACTCGCTAATCTGTCTGTGTTCTCAACTGATTTTTTTAAAAGTATATTGTTACAAAAGGAGAGGTTTCTATTTCAGTGACACATTCCTAGATGGTGTTTTGCTGTTTTTCTGAGTGAAAACATCGGAAAACATAGATTTGTTCATGAGTAAAGAGGGCATAGTTAATATTAGGCCCACCATAAACCTTGTTTCTCTCTAAATAGAGTTGAGGCGCCAAGACTGCCTCTAACGTGCAACATGGATCTCTTCAAAGTTTATTTACATCCTGGCATCCATCCATCTCATAACATCTCACGTGCATGGTGCTTCTTCAGCCATATAAGCTCTGAGTTCTTAGTAGGAAAGGGTCCCTCTCTTTCAAAGGACATCAATAAGTGAGTATGTTCTTTTTGTTGAGTAAAGCTGAAAATTGTATTTTCTTGATATTAACTGAATCATGTGATGTTTTTGGCTGCATGGAAAGAAAGTTTATTACTCTTGTTTTTCTACATGATTATGAAACAAAGAAAATGTTACTAATTTCAGTGTTTCCATGAAAATTCTGTACCTGGACCAAGCACTATTTCTGGCTCTTGTTTTGAAGGAAATCTTGCTACAAGCATTGAAAACAAAAATTTGCGTATGCTCTCTTGCCGCATTTTAATATTGAAAAATGGGCCTTAAATAGAACTTAGTGGAAGCCCCAGTTGTATGTGGAAGTGAAATTTCACACACTCCAAGGTGGGGCTCTGGGATTTTGAGAAATCAGAAGAGTTCCTCCCCGGAGTCGAGACTCAGCATGACGCCACACAGGGCTACGCCCACAAGGCTTTCAGCAACACGCACTGGAGAACAACTGTTTACAAATGTGGTCGTTCCCTTCAGTCCCAAGAGCCCGATCATTCTTTCAGCATTTACAAAATTCCTGCCTTGATCCTTCTACTGAACCCCAGCTCTCGCTCTCTTTTGATTCCCCATTCCCTCTTGACTGATTGGATTGTCTCTTTGGACAAAACTCTCTGCCAAATAAATAAATAGAATTAAAATGTATTCCTTCTTTCCCCAGAATAAACAACAGAAAATGCATAAATGCTGTACAATCCCGAGAACATTCTTTTAAGATGTGGTGTTCCGTCACCGTTGGCACGCACAACTGTTGCCTGTTATTCTAATTATTTAAGATATTATTTAAGAGTGCTGCCAGGTGGGGGCCGTTTGGGGCGTCGTATTCGTGAGTGGGAGCAGGTCTCAGTCACACTGCGGCTCACAGCTGCTGCACTGGAGAGTCTGAATGTTTTAAAGTGTTAATCTCCCCTAGCAGGTGTTTTGCCGACTTTTCGACCTTCAGCCCCAAACACGTTGCATAGCCCTGTCTAACTTGAGGGGCTTCTGAAATAAAACACACAAAGAGGATTCCACACGTCTTCTATGACAGTGTTTCCCAACCTGGTACTCAGGGACCCCCAGACAGTCCCTCCCTTCCAGCTTCCAGTGTGGACTGTGTGATAGGGAGCAGAAACATGGACCTTCTGGGGTCGCCAAGGACCGGATTGGGAAACACTGTTCTATGAGACGGATTGTCCAGCATACTATGCATTGTGTTTAGCTGTCAAATAAGAGAGTCTGTTTTGTGCTGTGTGAGATTCACCAAGATAAACTGTCAAAATGACAGCACTGCCATCTATTCCTGTTCCCTTGAAAAAGCTAAGTTACTGAGTCTGACTTCTGTTTCGGTGTTGCTGCTTCACATACTTTCTTAAAACTCAAACTTGAACTGAGCCTGGTTTCCGTTAAACTCCTCTCTCTGGCAACCCCAGTTATTATGCAGTTTATTTTAAGGCGTTAAGAGAGGGCATAGCCCTGTTCAAACTGCCGCATTGGGAATTCTTTGAAGTTAATAGAATGCACTTGCTAAAAGTCTATTTGTAGAACTGGAAAATGCTCAAATTTAAAAAATCAACCTAATTACAATTAACCTAGGCAACACTCTGTCACAAAACTGTTCATTGGCAATATGGTTATTCAATTTATACACACACACACACACACACACACATATATATATATATATATATATATATATATGAAATGGTTTAAATGTAAATATACCAAAGTATAAACAAATAATTTTTGCATATATTGTTACAAAAATAAGTCAAACTACTGTCCACCATTGCTCACACTCTTATAACTTGCTTCATCTGCTTCAACTGAAAGGGGTTGGTTGGTGAGGCACTAACCGAACCATTAAGACATTGCTGTTTCCCAAGGACTTAGATCCCCCACAGAGTTCTTATCCCCTCCAAATACTGCCAATGCCTCATTGCTGCAAAGAAACAGGTGCTGCATTTCTTACACTGATCAATAGCTCTTTAATAAGACTGGAGTAGCACATTCTAAAGAGATTCCTTCCAGGCCACTATCAGTACCTGAATGGGACGGAGCACAGGGTTTGTTCTCAAGCATCATGGACTGGAGGTGCTCTTACCTCCAGGCAAGCTGATGGGGCCACAGCCCTTGCCCACGGCCTCCTCCTCCTCAATATAGATGGTCTTCTTGCAGAGCCTCCAAAGGCCAAAGTGGGCCGCCTCGCAGGTGTCGTTGAGCTGCTCGACTCGCGGGCTCAGCACCGCCCAGTGATCTGTCACCACAGCGGTGAACATGGCTGAGATACCCACCAGGATGACAAAGAAGGTGAATCTCACCTTTGCCTTCTTGTTCTCAAGCATGGTCAGTGTGAGTTATTTCGCTTGCAACCCTGAAGTTCCTGGATGTTGAGGCTTTGCAGCTTGAGTATTCTACTCAATGACCAGAGCTCACCCAACGTCTCCTCACTCCAGCTTGCTCTCCGGAAATCTCCGACTCTAGTTTGAAAAAAGGCCAGATAACAGCGCCCTAGTTTTTTTCTCTCTCTCTCTCTTTCTCTCTCTCTCTTCCCCTCCCCATTTTGCATTGAGCAACGAAGGCTATGGTTTAGACTACAGCTGTTGAGGTATATCAGGAAAGTTGATGACCATACACACTGTCCAAACTGGTTGGGGATGGGGGGGGTGGTGTTTCTATTAATGCTCACAGTGAGTCAAGCTATAAGGCTGCCCACTTATCATGTTACAGCTAGGTGGGCGTGCATGTGTCAAGGATTCCCGGAACTCAATAAATTGAGAAAAGAAAATCCCCCCCATATTGTTCTGTAATGCTGCTCTTTTATACTCTTGTGAGGATTTCCTTTTTATTTTTAGCGTGATTTTTATTAATAGAATTATGTACTATACCAAGGTAATTTGTAGTAATGCTGCACTCCTCATTCCAGTGTAGAAACTTACTTGAGCCATTTGGTAATTACCAGGGTTGGGGTTCACATAAGATGACTCCCAGTTACAGGACATCAACCTGTAAATACTGAAAAATAATGTTGTCATAATAAATATACAAACCGACAAATAAATAAAGTCTTGGATATTCATGTGCACAGAATTAGTTCATTCAGACCAGTTTTTATTACATTAAATCATTTAATACTTCTGTTGCTTTCTTCTGTCTAGGTAAACTTCACTCCATGTTCAGAGCAGGACAACTAGCTGTTAAATCTAACTGTAAACTATTTATAAAGAGAAATAAACAGCCGCTGTCTTTCTCCTGACAAGCAGGTTAACTGCCGCTTCCCCGGAGACATTTGTGTATCTTTCAACATACTGTATCAACCTACCTTCGCTATTGAAAACAGCTCAGTTCTGCATTAGGACTTCAGGACATGAATTTCCTTTAAATCATTTGAGACCCCTACAAACTTGAATTGGAGAAGTGAGTATGGAAAATGGATGGATGGATGGATGGATGGATGGATGCAGCATTTCTCTGCGATGGACTGGCATCCCAAACAGGGTGCAACCCAGCCTTGTGGCCTCTGCTGCTTGCCGTAGGCTGCAGGCCTCCTGTGAGTCCGACCAGGTTTAGGGTTGGAAGCTGGATCAATGGATGGATGGAAGAAAAAAACCTTGATCTGGAGAACCCAGATGCTGATGGTGATAATTTTGATATTATTTAATTTCTCAGGAATTACAGCGGTGGTGCAAATAGCTCTACTTTCAAACATAATATTTAATATTTAATCCAATCTCATGAGCTCTTTACACACATATAAACATATCTGGGATGTTTCATCCACGTCAAAAAAAATCTAATCTTGAATTTATGGGGGATGAAATTGTTGCCAAATGTTGCCAACTGCTGAGGATGTGTTTGGCATGTGGAGGTCAGAGGGCTGGTACAGACCCTGGGAGCCCCTTGCTCTTCTTATCTGCCACCTTTCTGTCTTCTCATAAAACTCCCGGTACCCGTGCCGTCTCCTATAAACCGTCAGCACTGTCCCATTTTCCGCATGCCTCTGACCCACCTATTCCCATGGAAATCTCCTCGCAGCCGTCCCACCTTCAGCAACAGAGACGCGAAGATCTGCGGCGGCTTTAAGTGCAGCACTAAAAAGCGTGAACCTCCACGGCCTGCGAGCACAACCTCCATACGCCAGACGGAGACAAACAGTGTGGCATCGTCACCGACAGACTGACTGATGCGCAGCTCTGCTACAGATGTTTCTATATGGAGGCTGACACTCCGCAGTCACGATCGTTTTTTCATGGGTGGTGGGCAAGGAGTCATAAAAATGCATCAGACATAATGGCCACCGAAATGGAGCTCAACAGTCTGGAATCATGACCCTTATCCATGCTCAATATTAAAAACCACCCCCTCTTACTGAAGTGTGCTACATTTCACAGTACTTAATCACACACTAATAACACTTTATCAGTGTTATATAGTGCATGGTTTCATACACAAGCCTGGCTCTTGGGTTCAGAGAGTCTGGGATAATTGCATCCATTTGGGTAAAATCTGGGCTGCAAGCTCACCATTTGCTCACTGTGTCTGACTGTCATTGTCATGCTCTCAGAAGGGTGCACTCCCTCCACGATAGTCATTCTTCTGTGCCAATGACCTCAACAGCTTTAGCATCTGTGCCTAACATTCTGAGCCAGCCACGCATCTGCCTTCCAATGCCGTGACCCTGTCGTCTCACTGGTCGAAGTGTGTTTCTGCCCAGCATTGTTATAAGAGCCGCTACAAGCTCTATAACAATGCTTTGGCCAGCTTATCTAACAATTTTGGTAAGATGTGTTCCCTAGAGAACATACTGGTGAGTGGGTGTGTTACAGTATATCAAGTGTTTGGCTACAAGAAGAAAAAAAGTATGAGAGCGGTCAGAGGGCTTCTTTGTGTTTGCTACGCAATCTGACTGTTTAATTCAAGTAATCACGGGGGCCTGGTGTTGTTATTGCCACTGCTGAACCACAGAAAAGAACATAGCGGCTCTCAAATCATTTCAATCAGCTTCATCACTCGATTTTTTTCACAGTTTTCATCCTACAGTTAGTATTTTCTCCAAAATAGCTGCTGATCTTGCCAATGGTAGCTAGAGAAGTCTCTACTGAGCGGGGATTGGGAACAGCTAGATTGATAAATGTACTAGTAATGAATTCAAACTAATTCTTTTGAAAATTGAGCTCCCTGGCACTTTGAGCGATTGATGTGTAGTTAGTGAGCATGTTGTTATGATTATATTAATTCAATGACATCAGCCGTAGTAATGCTGGTTTATAAACAAGGAGAAAGAACAATTATTACAAAACTAGTCAGCGTGGAATAAAGAATCTTGCCTTAAGGCATCACCTCTGTGCATAATATTGTTTACCTAATTACCTGGGTCTTTCACCTCCCTTCTGTTTGTTTTATCATTTTTAAATATTCACAGTCAAAAGAGAAAAATTATGCACATTTCAGTACAGTTGTGATCTGGAGGAATTATATTCCTTTGAGGTGTCTGGAAGATATATTAGGATATTTTCTTTGAAATAAGAGAAAATACATTTTAATTCATATATTCCAAATATTAACTTAGTGCTTGAAGGTAACATTAATTGGTGTCTAATTTTACATGGAGCCTTACAGATTTCATTGTTTGCTTTTCGTATCTATGCATTTTTCAGTAACAACATAATACAAGCTAAACGGAATCGCACCCCTAAGGCTGTTTTCAGTCACACAGCTGTCTCATAAAATAGGTTTGTCACCCTGCATTCACCACTATCAACGCCATAGATTGTGAGTGTGGAGCATGTGCCCTCTATGATTTGTGTAGATGATCTACAGAATGTCATACACTGGAACTTATTAAAGCTTAACAGACCATACTTCCCAGGTAGAGAAAACAGAAGAAATGACAATGAATTAATGTATTCTGTCATGTTGGATAATAGCTAATACATGCATCCTTATAAGTACTGCTATCTATTTTACAATTTCATTAGATTTAGACAAATATATGATTTACGAATTATTTCCGAAGTAAGATGAATTTCTCTGTTTTAAGTAAATGCACATGCAGTGCGAGGTGTTATTCTCTCTAAATTTAGGCACACAATCTTGTTAATTTGTTTTCATGTCATAACAGACCCTTATAATACAGCTCAGCAGCTTGTTTTGAGCATTTATCATAATGCTTCCGTTTTACATTATTTATCACCGATAAAACATCAGCCAAACCCTAGATATGTGTATCTCATGTATTCTTCTCTGTAATATGGAACTGGTGCATGTGTGAGTGGATGGTGTGTGTGTGTGCCCTGCGATGGGCTGGCCCCCCATCCTGGGTTGTTCCCCGCCTCGTGCCCGTAGCTTCTGGGATTGGCTCCGGACCCCCCATGACCCAGAAGGATAAGCGAGTTGGAAAATGGATGGATGGATGGAATATGGAACTGAGTTCATGATGAAGTGTAAATCAAATATTTGCAGCTACGCTAATTGCTAATATGACCGAAGAAGAAAACAATAACGAATAATTAAAATAACCTGCGGACGTGACAGCAACATGTAACATTACACAAGCAGTGTACATATTGCTGTAAATATTGTGTATTTCCTTTATCGTATGATGTCACCCTTTGTAGTTCAAGCCTAGGACTAAATATCCTATAGCAAACTTAAATGGATACAACGATAAATTTTGTTTTTGTAACTAGCTTGTTTTCCAACAAGTACACATAAAGCTACCATTACTTCTACCATTACCTTTTTCCAGAAATGCACTTTATGATTTAAATCATCCTTTATTCGCTTTATTTGGTTAGCAGGCTGGTGTGAGATTTTCAATTTCGAGACAAGTCTGCGCATGCATTTACATGTATGTAAGTTTTATTACCTTGCAAGTAGTTTGTAGGGTCTGCAAACTATCCCAACGCTTTTGATGTAGCTAATCTTACGTTTATAATGGCATACTATACATTTGCTGTGAGATTTCTTGCATCAGCGTGAGTCAAAAAACGTGAGTGTCACGCCAGATGAGTGAGCTGCATCGCACTTGGTTTTTATTTTCATATTTATTACGTTGGATCTTATCTGTAGGTATTTGTATTGGTCTTTCCTAAAGGTCAGTTCAGCGTGCTTTAGCTTGCCAGCTATTTATTTGGTTTTGTTTTATGCTTAAGTTTTGGATATTAGTCGCAATACTATTCTATTAACTAAAAAGTGATTAGATGTGTGAGTGTGTGCAGTGCGACAGACTGGCACCCCATACAGGGTGTCCCCTGTCTTCTGGCCCAAGCTGGCTGGGGTAGGCTCCAGACCCCCCCTCCTCCAGTGACTGTCTACTGGATAAGCAGCTGGAAGATGTATGTTTATGAAGAAGAGTCTTTGGCTAGCATAAGCCTACAGGACCTGGTGTAAATAATGGTATTACCCTGCTACCCCCTGGTATGCCCCTGTATGGTTCATTTTCTTCACATGATGAGGACACCAGGGATAAACAGGGCCCGGTTTATAGGATGTCACTGAGACTCGATGCACCGTGTCGCACACCTCACCTCTCTTTCCTTGTCTGCCACAGTAGTGTCAGGAGGCTGTTCTCCGGATCCTTCCCCTGAAGTCATCTT